TGAAACATTATTACCTAACCATATGGAGCAGAAGGAAATAATGTATTGAGTTTTAAAATCATAATGCTTAAATTCTTTGTCTGAATTACTTCAAGGATTTAAGTTTTCATCTAATACACAGTCTGATTCTGCAAATGGTGCTGCATGAAATTTGTGAGGAGCAGGACACAGGGTCAGGCCTATGACAGTTTCATGTGTGTCCTTCAGGCCACCTGGGTGGTACTGCAGTATAACTGTGAAATGAAAAGTGTGTGCTAGAGCTTGGTTCAGTTAGTGTGTGATCATAAGAGATTGAAAGGAATAAACGGAGCTGTGGTCTTGAAGGTGCTGAAGTGCTTTTAAGCCATCCTCACACAGAGCCATAAGGTATCAGCTGCTTCACGTTCTGCAAGGTGGCATTGAGTGACTTTAAAAGATCAGTTTAACAAGCAATAGGCCCCGAGGGAATGGCCTCAAACTGCCCAGGGCAGGGTCCGGCTGGCTCTGAGGAAGGATTTCTGTGCAGAAGGGGCTGTTGGGCGTTGGAATGGGCTGCCCAGGGCAGGGGGGAGTCCCTGGGATCCCTGGAGGGGTTGAAGAGTCGGGCTGAGCCACCGCAGAGGGATCTGGGGGAGTTGGGAACGGTCAGGGGGAGGGTCATGGTTGGACTGGAGGAGACTCAGAGTCTTTTCCAACCAAGATGATTCTGTGATACATGTAGACAAACATTTAGGTACCAAAATTCATCAGGGTTTCCCCTTGTACACATTGCCCTGTTGTATAAAGAGATTATTTTCGTAGAGCCTAGAAAATTCTCCATAACCCATTGCAGGCTGGTTGTGAAAGCAACATGTAATCGGAGTATTTGCATTTGCTAAAGAACATCCTGCTTTCATAGGAACCATTGAAATCTCACTGGGGGGAAAAAATTTCTTCAGCTCTAGGGTCGATGTGTGTATCAGAAGTTACATCTTAGTACATGTAATTTCACAGTGGTTGACCATCAGGTTAAAAATAGTCTTGTTGACCACACACAGCGTAACATTTTTTTAAATTAAAATTTAGCTGTGCTGATAGCAACAGAATTATTTGTTAAAGTCAGTGCTTATAGGAACCAGCAGCTAGGGGGTGGCCTTAAATTGTTAAATAAATCAGTCCTATGGAAAAGACAGACTTTTAAAAATAATTATGAGTAGTATTTCCCAAATACTAGCTAATGCAGCTGGGAAGAGTGGTTGACATTACTTTTTAGCTTCATAAAGATCTGTATGTTTTCAGGGAAAAAGTGAAATAGTCTTGTTGTCATCTATTTTTTCTTTTTTTTTTTTTTTTTCCTTCCCCTTTTCAAAAATTATTGAATGGATGGCAGAATGGTTTCAGCTGCTATACTGTGCAATGCAGCCTGCCTTAATAGGCTTCTAGATTTTCTTGCTTTTGCTGTAAGAGCAGTGAAATTGTTGGAGAGGAGAAAAGCAGCTTCTGTATTCCACAGATTTCTAAACATATTTCAATCATACGTTGCAGCAGTCAAGTCCAATAGAAGTAAAACAAAAAAGAGAAACATGGAAATGAGATGCTAAGGAGAGGCTTCAATAATTGTGAATGCAAAATACTTCACTTTTATTGTAGCATTTGCATTTTTTAACGCATGCATACCTTGCTGTGAATGAACAGCTTGAGTTGGATTGGGGTGGTGTTTCTTTTTTAAAGCATAAATACCAAAGTATAGATTTACAATGCTCATATCAAAATTCACTGTCGCTTGGTAGCTTGGTGCTAGGTTAGTACGCTTTCTCTGAAATCCTCTTTGGAGAGAAACACTGCATATGAGACATTTGAATACTCCAAGACCCCCAGGTGCACCTGTGGGTTTTTTCGGGGGAGCATGTGTTTGTTTTTTTAAGCATAACCACCCAGATAATACTGTGATGTGATTCAGAGGACATGCTGTGATGAGCTGCTCTAGTTCTGGTTCTATGATGACTTAATGCTGTTTGCCCCTCGTCATCATTAACTTTCCATCTGTGACTGCTGGACATGGCACATAGAATCATCGTGTGGTTTGGGTGGGAAGGGACCTCAAAGCTCATGTAGTCCCACCCCACTGCCCTGGGCAGGGCCACCTTCCACTAGCCCAGGTTGCCCAAAGCCCCGTTCAACCTGGCCTTGAGCCCTTCCAGGGAGGGGGTAGCCACAGCTGCTCTGGGCAGCCTGTGCCAGGGCCTCACCACCCTCATCACAAATTTCTTTCTTGTATCCAATCTAAACCTACTCTCTTTCAGTTTAAAACTGTTGCCCCTTGTCCTTTCACGACAGGCCCTGGTAAAAATTCTCCCTCCATCATTTTTATAAGCCCCTTTTATATATTGAAAGGTCTCTCCAGAGCCTTCTCCCCTCCAGGCTGAACCTCTCAACTCTTAGCCTCTCCTCACAGGTGAGATGCTCCAGCCCTTGGACCGTTTTTGTGGCCTCCTCTAGACTCACTCTAACAGGTCTATGTCTGTCTTATACTGGGGACCCCAGAGCTGGGCAGAGTTCTCCAGGTGGTGTCTGACACTATAAATCTGTCCAGCTGGTTGGTGAAGACCCTCTTGTCCCCCCTGGTCAGGTGAATCCCATCGGCTCCCAGCAGACCTGGCTTCTCAAAGACAGATCCATGGTCATAGAAGCCAAAACATAAGTATAGATACTCCAGTACATAAACTGTATTTGGCATATGTCAGTGACCTGGCATCACACTCTGAAATGAGTTTTATTTTTTTGTAATATGAATTACTTTTTGGTAGGGAAAAGGAGTTCAGGCACTGCAGAAGCAGCACAGCAGATGCAGTGTGGTTGTGACAGCTCAGTTACCTCAGTGTTTGTAGAATCACACCTTTCTTTTGAATTGCTGAGGTTACCTGCATGGGGAAATGTTACATTATTAAGATATCCTCTTTTTCTGCTTGCTTGTGAATAGATACAGTAGCTTTCATCTCAGATTATCTGCTTGCCCATATATTGATTTGTGTCCTCTAATTAGAAGAAAAATGTTAACCATTACTGGTGAAAAAGCACTTAGAGATGAAACACTTTTTTTTTTTCTTCCCTCCCCGGTACATCCACAACATTGTGACCTTTTTCTGGATCCTCCTTACTTGTTCAGGGCATCACAACTGAAGGGCAGTGTTGGTTGCTTTCAAAAATATTAAGACTCCAGTGTGTAATTAATGGAGAATTTGTAGATACTTATTAACTGCAAGCATGTTCATAGCTTTTCATCTTTGTTACAGTAAGGCAACTTTTAAAGTATCTTTAACTTCCCCCCCCCCCCCCCCAGTCTGTATAATTTTTTTGTCAGCTTAATCTCTACTGACCAAAGTGTAATTGGTAGCTGAAAAGGGTCAAGCAAATTTCAGGTAAAGATTGGAGTGTAATCAGCCAACTTCATGCCTCTTTGAGATATCTTTCTCATAGTAGAGTAGGTAAGGAGTTCACCAGGAAAAATAAAACCCTGTTCCTAGGATTTACTGCCTTGTTAGGTTTTGTTTGTTTGTTTTTTTCTAGTAGGGAAGTATTTCCATAAAATATCCACTAGAAAAGTAGCGTGTCTTTGCTTGCTGTCCTTCAGAATAATTCTGAGTCAGCAAGATGGCAACCAGATGGATGGGAGAAACAGAAGTATAATGACAAGCAGAAAATAATAAAAAAGTGCAGATGTGCAGGGAGAGAGAACAGAGATCTCCAGAACTAAAGCACAAAGGAGAATATGAAAACGCATTATGGAGAGGACAGGACGTATTTTGGGCTGAAAAAATAGATATATGGGAAAAAAAGTTACTATTCCCTAAGCCCGTGTGACCTCATTTTTTGTTCTGAAGAGGATACATGCCCAGACCTCTGTAGGAAATCTGGCTGCCAGCTGGCACAGCACCTTTCAAAGAGACCTAATTTTATATTTTCAGAACCTGGCAATATTGGCCACTTCCATCTGTAATAGGCTGCTGTTTGTAATATCTGTTAAACTGCACTTTAACACTTAATTTTAAGTTTCTTTGCCAACCTGTTAATAAGGGTCAGGCTACTGAGAGCTGTCAATAGGGCCAAGAAAAGTGTTTTAATTTTGTGAGGTCTGTGGGTTCATGCTTTTCTTTTTCATTAATTTACATCTTTTGGTGGGCTCTAGGATGTTAATTTGTATGATGAAATAACATCTTCCTATATTTTAAGTTTGTATTGATGGGAGGTTGGTATAAATCCTTTACAGGGATGGTAGAAATCTGCTGTATTAAATTCAGCGTTAAAATTGCTGAGTTATTGAGAGTTAATTTTTCTGGGATAGAAATCAGAAGGTATTGGGCACATCATTGTATTATATAATGATTTGTCAAGTTAAACTGAACTAAATGTGGGTAGTGAGGGAACAGATTCAGTTCTCTTGCTCCGGCTTTACATGCTGCAACAGAATTTTCAAGCTCTGTCTGCCAGCTTAGGGAGGGTGTCTAGGGAGCTCTCTTAGTAGCAGGCAGAGCTGCTCTTGCAGAGTTCAGGTGATGACAGGCAGCCTATTTGTGTTAATTTAATACAAAGAAGAAAGCTCCCTCAGATCCGGAGGAGGCAAAATGACCACTGCCATGTGGCTGCCACTGGTTGAGCATGGGGCTGCTTCAGTTGGTGCGAAGTGTAGCTCCAAGCTGTCATTGATTTCAATCTGTCTTAAACCTTGCCAGAGTCAATTAGCTCTTGTAATTGCTAGTTACCAATGTTTGATATTGATAGAAGTCTGAGGGAAAAAAAACAAGAAAGATTTGTTTTGGGTATAACTCTAGAATACTTTGTAAAATTATTTGTGTTAGAAGAGAAAATGCAAACATGTATGTATAGTGGCAGTGCAACACTGCACCCAAAGCTTGAGATGGATTTTGTAGTGTCTAGCTGTAATGTTGGAGATAGTAATTTATATGAAATATATCAGTGTTTCTTTGAATTCCTGTTAATATATTTTTCTGTTGTTTTTTGGTTTTGTTTTTTTTTTTTTTCAGCTCTTCGTTGTAGTCTCCAGTTTCTTGGAAACATTGCAGCAGGAAATGGAGATTCCCAGAATAGCATTTGGAAGTGTGCTTTCCCAGATCTCTTCTTGTAAGCATGGATGCGGGTTTTTTTTCAAATGTCATTTCTGTGGTTATATTCAGATCTTTTATACATGATAGTTGTTCCTCTACTAGCACCATGAAGCTTTGAAAAATAACTTTGGTGAGAATGGGACGGTTGAGCCCATATCCTGTAGATGTGTTGGGTTTTTTTTGTCCACCACAGGGGTCAGGACCTTTTTAAAAACCTGCTTGTTTTAAACTAACAGTAAATTGATTTAATTTAATAGAAACTGGAAGACAACTCTAGTTCAAATTATGAGCTTCAACATAAGCTTTATTTCAGTGGTGTTTTCAAATAGTTATACTCATTTCCAAGAACACAGCTTTTTCTTTATTCGCTTTGCTGCTGGGCAGACCTGTCAGTATTTGTGGGTTAGATGGAATCTACAAAAGTGACTTAATCTTTATGTCTTCCAATCCTTCTGACCCCTCGTAATGTCAGCGGAATGTCTTCCTGGAGGTTTGATGACATATATGTGATGAAATAGTATATAAACGATTTTGTGCAGACACATGACGATGTTGTTGATGTGTTTGGCCATTTTTCTCATAGTGAGCTAGTAACAAAGGCACATTCATTCAATTTGATAACCATTCTGAGTGTGTTTTTGGAGCCTGCTTGTCAGCACTAGATGTAGAAAGACCTTATGATAATAGAAGCAGATGATTATTATCGTTTCACCCAATTTCTAGATCTCCAGTTAGCTCCAACTTAACATTAGTTTTTTTTTTAAATGACTGTTAAGTTTGACCTTCAGTTAGGAGTTAGATATTTCCCTTTGTAGATGTCTTCTATCCCTCTTGGGCAATGACAAACTCACCATTCCCTAACAGACAGCAAAGAACAACAACTCAACAAGCTGAATGCCACGAGTCTGGTTTTCTAGGGTCAGTTTTAATTTACTGTCTTAACTCCTTATTTTCTCTTGAAGGACATGCCTAATGTACAGTGATGAGAAAATAGTTGCCTATTGTTGTATGGTCCTGTTCACCTGCCTTGATTCAGAGAAAGTGAGAGAACTTCTGGATCCTGGGAACTTGTCTGTGCCTCTTCGTGTCCTGAAAGTCTACAAAGAGGAGTTGGAGTCTGAGTGGTCGTATGTATCTTTAGATTTTCTTTCCCCTCTCTTAATTAGGCATTTTTCTAGTGTAAATCTCTATTTAAATGTCTACATCTGTGATGCTAATAAGTAGTAAAAACTATTTAGAAGTTAGTAACTTGGTATAAGGATAATTTTCACAATACTTTCACTGACTGTTTTGCTGCTAAAATAAGACTACATTTTTGTTGACAGGAATTTTAAAATTGTGGTCTGTTCATGTTTTTTTTTTTTTTAAATTAATGAAACCAAGTTCTAAAATGCAAACTAATTTATACTTGTTTGCTGGTTTGTGGAGATTTTTGAAATAAAGTTAACTCAGAATATAGTCTTAAAGACTTTGGTTATTGGGTCACTAATTGTATGACTAATTCTTGTGAGTGCTACATAAAATGTGGGGGTTTTCTTTTTTTTTTTTTTTTTAATAGATCTGTTGTCTAGTGCAACATGCAGTCAATTTTACACCAAAACAGAGAAGATGTTTTGTTTGTGAATCTTGTGTGTTTCATTTTCATACTTGAAGAGCACCTGGACAGTGGTTTTGTTCCATTGAGCTCATATATTTTTTGCTAATGGCCATTCTTGTAAATATTATTGTCAGTTATGCATTTGGAAAATGTTCTGCCCTGCATCAGCAAGGGTACACATTCAGTTAATTATTATATGATGCATTCCAAGGGGGGGGGGGGAAAAAGATAGTTTGTATGGGTTTTTTGTATCTTTCTTTTGAAGGTCCCATTTAAATTCAAAACTTAATCAGGAAAAATTGTCAGGGTTTTACTAGTTATTTGGAAAGTCTCTAAAAAGAGTTTAAGATGATTCAATGAAAAGCAAATGTCATTTAATAGTTTGCTTTCATATTGAAAAAGTGACTTTTTGTTTGTGTCTGGGCTTTTTTTCATAACCAGGTCAATTTGCTTAGGACATAAATAGTTTTCTGAAAGCAAACTTGAAGTTTCAGGGTCAGGTGACCAGATTTCTATTTTAAAAGTGACAAACTGAGTCTTTAGTTTTGGCATCTGTCAATATAAACACATGTGAAAGATTGCTTTTCCAATAATTATCGTGATTATCCTTCATTTTTTTTTAAGTATTGAAGATATGCTGAAATGTATTTTGACTGAGATATAAAAGCCAGGGAGAGCTGGAAGAGGTTGTCGTGGTGTTAAATTTATATTTTGAAGGTAATTGCAGAATAAATGCAGCATAAAAATAAATGCAGAGGTATCCACTTCCTTGATCTCTCTAGTCTGGGGCTCATTCTGTTGATGTTATGATGAAGATGTCTTACCTTCACCGTGGATTTTTGATGTAGGTGGGAAATGGTCTCTCTTCAGAGCAGTCTTGAAATGAAAAAGGAGCAAACTTCTATACAAGATCTAAGAGATGAGTAGAAAAGAGTAATCCTAGTCCTACCATAAGACAGCTGCAGAATGTTTGCGCTCTAACTCCTGATGAATGCTTGAGTTCCTCATACAGGAAATATAGAAAAAAGCATCAGAATATCTTCCAGGCATTAAGAAAATAATACATCTGTTTTTTTGTCAGAGCACTTTAACGTTGGCTGGTTAAGTCTCAAAGCTCATTATCATTTTTCCCAACTGAAAGAAAAAGTAATGAGTTTTTAGTACAGGTTTCTTGGCATTTTATACAGTCATCTTGAACCGAGTTATAACTGGAAATCTTTCAATAATGTTGGCATGGTTTTCAAGTCAACGTAGGTGAAGTGCATTCACAAGGGCAAAATCTAAACCAAAAAGGGTGTTTCAACAGGGCACTGTCACGCATTCAAGAGGGGTTGAAACAACATCACCTTGAAATTGTAAAAGATAATTCCTTGGTGGAAAGGGGCTGATTTTTCTGTTTTTTTGTAGCTCTACAGCCTTTTTGTGATTAATCTTGTACCTGTTTTCCCCTGTTTCTTGATCCTCACTTTGTTTGTTCTTCTAATACTCCATTTCTTAGATTTCCCATTTCAAGAAACACATTTACTCTCTGGTTCTTCCTTGTGTTTATCTCTTCTTATTCTGAGATAATAATTTGTCATGGCTGATGGTAATTTAAGTGGGAAAATATCTTCTTTTTTCATCTTAGATTTTTTTTTTTTTTAGAAGTGATTTTTCATCCTGAAAAACTGTGATATTTATGTACTAGAATACATGTAGTATCTTTGGTCTACTTAGTGCAGAGGTGGGGGTATGAAAGTAACATTTTTACATCCTTTTTTATTTTAAAAAAAAAAAAAAAAAAGAGGTTGGTGCAAGAGGTTTAGTTTTCATATTTACAGTGGAAATCTGCTAGTGTGTACCATTCATTACACAGCACTGATTTAAACAGTCTTTTTTTTTTGTTTTGGTTATGATTTTTCTGTCTTTTTTTTTTTTTATTCTCCCATCTTCCAGTTAGCCATAGGTCAGTGTGTTACACTAATATAATGTTTTTATCTTGGAGCATACATGCATCTTGTGAGCCTGTATTGCACGGTGTATTTCTGTGTAGTTAAAGCAATATCTTGCAATATCTCTTTTTTTTTTTTTTTTTCAAATTATCAAGAGTTTTTTCTTGTTACCTGGCAGTATTAACACAGCATGTAATTTGTAGGCAGCAAGTTGTTCTTAGTTTAGCTTTAATTACAGAGGATATTAACTTAATCCTATGAATAACTGACTACATTTTCATGAGGTACCTGCAGCTTGTATCTTGGATCCTTCTTTGCATTTTTCTATCATTTTTCCATTTGTAAAGCACATAATGTAAGAGTATCTGCAAGTATTAGACCTGATGTCACACAGCTGAACCTCCCTTTTTTTTTTTTTTTTTTTTTTTTTTCTTTTTTCTAGAATAATAGAATTGGCGTGTTTTGAGGGTAGTCTTGAGTTGAATCTGAAAGTCTGTTTCTTTTATTAGCACTAATCCTTCTACTGTGAGATAAATGTGCATGGATGCAGTTGTGTAATGTAATGATGATGCCTTCTGTTACTTGCCTCCTTTTTTTCCTATTGCTGAGCAGCAGGAATCCAGCTCTTGTGCTGACTTTCTTGCGTCCTGCCTCCTTGAGCAGTTTTCTCTGCTGGTTCTCCGAATTAAGGGGAGAGCTCTGCTGATGCCTGCCACGTCTCATCTCTTTTCTGCAGGGAACTATTGTGAACTTTTCGCTGCTCTCCGTTTACTAGTGTAAAGTGCTGCTCTGTTCCCCTGATCAGACAGAGCAGGCAGCACTCCGAAATGGCTTCCTCACATGTACTTCGCTGTGAACGCAAAAGCTGAACAGTAAACAGGATTTCTTATTTTGGTAAAAGTAATGTTGTTTGCTTTGGCTGATGAAAACCAAAGATTCTTGTTTTGAATATAAGAACATTTTTTTGACAATGGTAAGTGGAAAAAGTAGGCTTTGTCCTTCAGTCAGTGTTGGTCCTGACGTGTAGTAATGCTGTCTCTTTAGGACAGCTTTTGAAATTTTGTAGGTTTGTGTTACTAATACCTATTCTTTCATTAGAGCTTTCTATTTCTAAAACATTTTTGGATACGAAATGAATTTCGTTTTTTTTGCAGTTAGGTATGCGAAAGACAGACACAGTCATTATTGCTTTGAGAATGTGTTTAGAATAAGTTTTGACTCTGGTGTATTGCTGCTTTTGTTTTGGTGTCCGTTTTTATCATTGCGTACAATCTTCCTGGTTTAAACTAAGTCTTGGTTCATTACTAAAGCACTTTTTTTTTTTTTCCCTCATTGAAGAACTACGTTACTTTCTGGTACAGAAGAGTGTGCATGAGATATAGTCAGGTAAAAGTGCAGAAGATCTCTGTCCCTTTTCTTACGAAGTCAAAGCGGAGCTTTGGATGACTCTCTGGCTGGGCTGTAGAAAAAACATTTTGTCAGCAATTTATTGAAAATTTGGGGCTGTACTTCAGCTCTCACTGAAGTACATACCACTAGGATTGCTTAAACGAATTTACATAGCCATGGTATTTGCAACAGAGCCAGTTCTCTGTTGTAAAGATTTGGGTCCCTCATGCCACAGCTCGCAAAGTGCACAGCGACCGTTTTAAAGTGGCTGTTACAGCGTTATATGGGTGATCCGAAAGGAAGACTGTTCTTCCTCCAGGAGGCTATGCTCACTGCTGGACTCCCAAATGACCGAAGTTAAGATGTTCTTACTTGTTAAGTTAAAAATACTACTTAATTCCTGCCTACCTTCTTGTCTCTCAGCTGGACCATCCGGTTTCGTATTACACCGAATAAAAAGCAAATGCCACGTGTGTTTATTCCTCTTGGTTGGGGTTTCTTGCTGTCAAATGCTGCTTTTAGCTATTGAAAAACTTTCTTTGAATAACCAGGTGAGTTTTGGTTATAGGCAAAACTTTTGTTTACGATTTTATTCCCTTTTATTGTGCACTGAAATTTATGACTTAATGTTCCTCTAAGTTAGTATCTAATGAATTCCACAAATAAACACTTGTGATGCTCGAATTATTTTTGCAGTTGCTGCCATGAACTGTTGGGACAGGGAGAGGACATCCAGGACAAATATTTGGATTTAAGGCCATTGGCTGAACTGTAGTCTCTCCCATGGGGTCGTCCCTACTCCGTTTAGCTAGCACATGTTGGGCTTTCTACGCTTCACCCATGACAGAAGGGCAAGCACATCTTGAAAATCTTTTTTTTTGATGAATTGGCAGTTCCTCCTCTATTCAGGATGCCGCATTCATGGTTAGAGTCCAGTTTTCCATCTGCAAGCTGGAAAAGTCCTTAGGGAAAGTTCAGGAGGAGCCCTTTCCAAGTGTGATGTCTTTGGCTTCTCCCTCCAGTCTTGCAGCAGTTCTGTAGGGAGACTTTGTCAGAAAATCTGAGGTTATTCTGAGCAGTTCCTCAGAGCTCCCTTTTTAGAACTAGCTGTTGGTAGCGGACCTTTTGCAGTTCCTCTTCTGTCTGCCATAAACCCTCTCCCAGAAAAAAAAGAGAGCGGAGGAGGCATCTCTGAAGGCATGATGTAGCT